GCAGTCTCTGCTTTAAAGAGCATGAGGACCTTGTGGTTATAAAACCAGTATTTTAGCAGAGGGACTGAGGGTTAATGTGTAGTGGTAATGGGCTGTGTTTCTGTCCCGATTTCATACTTATTCTATTGTCTGACAACAGAAAAGGAAAAATAAAAAGGTTTCTCAGATGCTGGGAGTGCATGAAGACTCTTGCAGCCAACAGCAGAGCATTTGTTGCTCTTTGCTGGGATACTTCAGCGTTAGCAGACGTAGCCAGAAGTTAAATGAACCTGGTGGACTGAGAGGCACCGACTCATACTGAATGGATCGGTTGAAATCAGGGGAGAGGGAGGTTATGCACATTTTTAGCTATTGGTTCTTCAGCTTCTATGTAGAACCTTGGTTAAATCCAAGTTGGGAGCTACCTAGTTGAGGGGGCTGGAGGAATGGCAGAAGTAAACATCTTCACATTTCACAGCTGTTATTTTACACATATAAGTTCTTAAGACATGTGAATCCAAATAAACATGGGTTTCCACCACACGGGACCAGTGAAGTTAACAGATGGAGTGTGTGTTGCTGTTGAAACAACCACACTGACAGAAACCGACAGGTTACACCTGAACTAAAACATACATGACTGTGTCGTCCACTGTTCTGATGTCCAATCATAAAGTGTGTGTACGGCCTGATTCAACCTCCAAAGAAAAGCCTCAGTTATGAAACTTCAGAAACAGGTCATGTCAACCAAAGACAGAACAATTAAAGCAATCCAGAGTACTTTGTGGAGTTCATAAACAACTTCCTGTGGCGCCTTCTAAAAATACTGAGACCTCACTGAGCTCGCCGGGTCGTCTCTACAAACATTTAACGGAGCAACAGGCACAAAGCTATAAATAGACAGCCAGTCTCGCCGTCTCCTTCGAACTGCAGCATCTGTATCAAACAGAGGCTGTTGCTGTGCGTGAATCTCAACAATGTGAGGCGAGGCAGCATCTGGAGAGCTTCAGTCTGAGGTCTGCTGTGACAACAACACTGCTTGGTATTCTCTCCGGATCTTTTTCTTTAGTTATTGAGGGAATGTTGACTGAGGGTGCACACCGTGTCCCATTTCACATCTCAACTGCTACTCAGCATTTACGCCACGCCTCCGAGTTTAATGACTTGCTTGCATTTTCCCAGCGAAACCAGGGTTTGATCCAGCAACCTTCAGCTGACAAAAATACAAAGTTGGCTCCGCTGCCAAAAACTGTACCACTCGTCTTCCTCCTCTCCCTGAGCTCTGTCATGTGTTCTCTCGTTAAAATAAATATCTATTCACAGTCGTCCCTAATAATAGAAGCACATTCTGTTTATATTCATCTAAATGGCAAATATTATTAAATGCTATTTTGCTTTTATAGCTGCAATTGATGGTTAAGATTCCATGTTGGTGGCTTCATGGCCAACAACCAAACTAACTAAATAACCGAACTGTCAAACAGGGTGCTCGTGTTCACCAACCCGAGCTTGTGACTCTAAGTTTACGGTAAAGAGAGACGTGCTGAGTGAATTCGATTCTAATAGAAGCTGCTGCTGTGGTGAAGAAACACTGGAAGTTTCCATGTTAGGTTCTGATGAGATATTATCTGTTAAAAGCCTCCTGGAAGCATCCAGCATTCAGTTAGTACGTCTATATGAAGAAACGCAATCTAAAGCGTTTAGAAAAGTGAGTCAATGCAGATGTAACTTAAGCTTGTTTAAAGGAAAACTCCATGGAGCAGCTTTACCTTCTTTTTTTTAAGTGGTGAACTGTTGCTAAAATACTCCGTGAGGAAGTGGAAATTTTACAGCACCACTATTCCACAGATTTACAAGCATTCCAGCTGTGGTACTTTGAAATTACAGACTACAATAAGTGCTACAGCGTTTGCATGATAGTAATCCTTAAATCTAATTAAAGTCAAATTGTTAGTGTGCACATAATTTCATTTGGGCAAATACAGCATATAAACAGCAACGCCAACAGAGGAGATGAAGCTCTGCTCTAAACCTCAGCTTCCTCTCTGTGACTCTGGACTCTCAAGTGTTGAGAAGAAAGTGCAGTTTTTAAAAAAAGCATGTGAGAACGTTGTGCTTGGCACTAAACCGTGTGTCAGCTGTTGACATAGCTATTTCACCTTGACTGCGTTTGTCTGAGAATTGTGCGGCAGCTTTGTGAGTCCTTTTTTTTTAGCGCTGATCCAGCTTCTCCTCCAGGTGACGCTCACTGATAGCAGAGGTAGTTGATGATGAGTTTGGGCACGTCCAGTTGACCTATGACCTTCAGAGCCCTGGTGCCCAGCTTGCTCCTCACAGCCAACCTGCTGAGCTGCTGCAGACTCATGGGAGTGGCTACAGACAGAAGAAAGCGTTGGCAAAATGCCACACCAATAATATCACATTTGTTGACATTAAACTCAATGATGTGTGTCATGGCTCTCTAAACCGATTACACTGAGAAATAATCCAGTGGCTTCCAAATTGGATGGATGAGATGTGACACTGGTGGCTGGTCACTGATTCAGCAGCCACACAGTAATGAAGTACAACATGGTGCTGCCAGCATCTCAACAACTGACCTATTGTCTTCCTTTACACAGGTGGGTTTGTAGCTCCAGTCAAGCACCCTCTGTCACAGAATGAACCTCAAGAAAAGGACTGACTTGGAATAAACTCCACCAGAAACCAGGGCCACGCTGAAGAATGTGGATGGTTAGCAAACTATGTCCCAAGTGACACAGAAGGTTCAGAGTGAGGCTGACTGACATGAAGGATGACCCAAAAACCAGGATGTTTCTCAACAATAACAAATGATGCCAACATCTAGAAGATCAAGGAACTGGTGCTGAGTGAGCACAAACTGATGATCAGAGTGATGGCTGAGCAACAGGGACTGAACAGGAAGTCGGTCAGGACATTCTTATTGGACAATCTGGGCGTGTGAAACATTTGTGCAGTTTGTACCCAAGCTGGTCTCCACAGACTAAAAGCCCCACCATGTGGATGTTTCCTGGGACGTTTTGGAGCAGCTAGAGGAACATCCAGAGTCGCTGGACAATGTCCTCACTGGAGATGAGACATGGGTCTTCCAGCAGAGACCACGTAGCAGAGTGGAAGACGGTGGCATCACCCAGACCAAAGTAAGCTTCCACACCTACAGAGTCCAACAAGATGGCCCTCACCAACTTCCTGTTCAACCCCAGTTGCTCAGACGTCATTCCAGTTGTCAGTGCACAATGAGGGATGGCGGCCAAATATACATCGAATACTGTTTGACGTTTGCAGTCGCTGAACTTCTCTAAATGTACCTATGATATTTTTAAAGTGCTGTATGACATCATAGTATAGCTATTTTACTGAGGTTTTTTTTCAATATTGTCACTTCTTTAAGCAACCATCTGCTCAGATCTAAAGTGTAAAAACTGTCCTTGTTTCACACTCTGACCCCTTTCTATATAAATCTCTGGACGTTTACGATGCAAGTTGTCACCTTCGCATCCAGTTACACTGTCTAGGCGCTGGTTTACCAGCTGTACACCCCAGTATGGTTGTAAACAACAGGTGTCATCTAGCAGAGTCCTCCTGAAGTGTAAAATGATCTTTGCTTGCCATCTACTGGTGCTGTGCTGACACTGCACTCTGTACAGCCGCACATCTCAATAGCTTACGTCTCATGTGTCCTTAACGTACGTGAAAACTTACTCTCATAAAATTGCAGGCATGCTGCAGAGGAAGAGCCTGGTGTGGTGTAGTCCACAGGTTTCCTGTCATGCTGATCTCTGGCGTAGATGTTGGCCCCAAACTCCACCAGGATCTCGATCATCTCAACCCGCATGTTTTTAGCAGCGTGGTGCAGCGGCGTCTCGTGCAGCCTGGCAGCGTTCACTTTAGCACCTACACAGGAAACATAGAGTCGTGTCTGAAAGGAGAAAGCTGGTTTTGTTCTATATTTTCTTATTGCCAATAAATCTACAATGAAAATACCAAAAACAGCTCACTGAACACTTTAACTACCTTCCCTAGCTACACCTCTCACCACCGAGCTCACTGATTCTTACTTAGGACGAACAAATATGTAGTTTCTTAAAAAATGTTCCATAACTTCATACGGTCACTGTGGCTTCAACACACATTATGTCAAGAGAAGAAAATAGTACATTTGTTGGAAACTACTTTGATGGTGGATTATTTAAACTCGTATCTGAGGAAGCAGACGAGTGGATGTTTGTATTGATGGTGGTGAAAGAACACATCATCCAGTACAACAGTGCACCTCACTGACGTGTTTAACATGCTCTGGACAAGCACAGAGGAGGATTTCAGGCTCTGAATAAATAGACAAGACTTAATAATGTTCTATTTTCATAGTTGTTAATAAGAAAAATATACAACACTGCAATCCTTAAGAGTAAAAACTATCTTCATTCCAGGTGAATAGCTATATATAATACCACGTGGACTGAAGGGAATGATTGTTTTTTTTAAATCATTCTTCAACCCGCTAAGTTTTCTCACATTTGGTGAACTTTTAGAAACCTGCCTTTATTACTTCTTAAATGTCATATTTTAGACTGTTGGAAAGCTTTTTTTGTTGCACTCAGTTCAGCTGAGTTTCTTCTTGACTGCTTGATGACATTTTTTGCTCTAAAAGAAATGAAACAATTTTAGGAGCCAATATACAAAAGTTTCAAAATATGAACACGATATATGAACATCAAGGTATTAAACTGCTGATAACTAACAGAATTATCACA